GTTCTAATCAACATTTAGTTTGGTTTTCTTTGCTGCAGTCTGATTATCCCGTTTTGTCAGGTTCCCTGATAAGGAGGTTGGGCAGTTCCCCACGGCATATGTTGCAATCAAACCTGGAAGCAATTTATCAGGGAATGAAGTTATGGATTTTGTAGCAAAACAGGTATTTTAATCAAGGGAAAATGATTGATAAATCTTCCGATTTATTATACATGTTAACAATGATTGAATCAGTTATTAAAATTTATAATTGAAAGTTTTCAATTCTTATTTTGAATTTAAATTTAAAAATAATAATTTTTAATAAATATATTATAAAATATATTGAATCAAATAATATATTAATTATTGTCCTTAATTAAATATACCTGAGTTGGGTACAAAATATATGCTCGTGGCATTAGGCCATTGGCCTCCTTTTTTAACATTTTGCTAACAAATAAATACACATGCATGCAGGTTGCTCCTTACAAAAGAATTAGGAAGGTAGTATTTGCGGCTTCAATACCAAAGAATCCTTCCGGAAAGATTCTCAGGAATGATCTCTTCAAGCTTGCAACCTGCAAAGAGTCCAAACTCTGAACATGTGATTTCTTGGGTCTTCTTATCTAGGGCCCAAAATTCGTTTTTTCGGTCATGTGGTTAGGGGGTGTGTATTGGATACAGACATACTCGTTTTTTATATATATTTTATTTATTTGGATAAGTATTATATTCAAATTATAAAAAAAATTAGGTAAATAATAAATATGAAAACAATATGCTTACAAGTATCAACTTAAGTAATAAATATAAAGATTCAAAATTATTTACTCGACTTATTTTACTTGAGTTGTTTGATTGACTTGTTATTTATATTTATATAATTAAAATTCTACATGTATTTATTATACTTAATATCTATATGGTAATAATAATTTTTAAAAATAAAATAATACAATACAAGAAAAAGGTAAAATAAAACCTATAAGCCAAACAAATCTCATATGCAACAATATTAACAACTTGTTCAAATAACAAATCTAGAGCCAAACACATGACATACTTAACAAAACCCATATAAGGTCTCTTCTTTTCCTAAGCTAAGCACATAAATATATATTGGTAAATTACCCGATTTACCTGTTGGGTTAGGTACCAAGTATAGGTATTTGAGTATTTAAGTAAATATTAAATCTACAAAACTGTACCTAAAAATTTTTAGGTTAAGTAGTAAATATAACTTATATTCTAGTTATACCCTAAAATGCTAACCCCTACTAGGTATGGATCACTTACTAGAATGTAGGCTATGAAACTGCTATAATTTCATTAGAAACCCAAATTTTTTTGTCCTTAAATTTGATTCTTACAGTCATTAGTCATACCATCTCTCTAAAAATAGATATTCAAAGCCACCCCCCATTATGTTTGATTTCCATTCACCTAAAGAGAATTTCGGGAACAAGTTTGGTGGTGGACAGTGCGTTAAGATCGGGATTTAGTAGACTAAACTCTTTACATTTTTGCGAAAGTTTTTTTTTTTTTCCTTTTTTTTTATGTTAATTATACAATGGAAGACAATATCTTATATTTCTTTTCTCATTTAATTCGTATGCTTCCTGCTAATTTATTCAAATTATTGACTTTGGTGAAAGCTCTTTTGAGGTTTCTCAGCAAGAAACATAATTAAAAGTTGTGATTTGTCAACTGAAACGATAAAACGTATAGAAAAATTCGGGAGCAGCTAACGCGGTAGGAATTTCTAGCAAGTTGTGGATAGAAATTCTTTAGGCCTAGAAATTTATCCAATCAAATTATTGAATTGTTATAAACCGGATGTTGATCTTGTTCTTCTTATGAACAATTATTCGACCCCCGTGTGTTGATATCCGTGTGGATGACTCAGGCCCCGCGCCACATGCACCACAAAGTCCAGAGCAACTCCACGACCAGATCCATCTTCCGAATCTGCTAAAGCACGTGGTCTTTGTTGAACCCCCGACAGAACCCCCTATATATATTACCTTTCCTATTTTTGCTCCTCATTACTCACTTTCTCTTGACGCCATGATCGGCTCAAAGAAACTGATTGCCATTGTGAGGAAGTGGCAGAAGATACCCTGTATTGGGCGGAGGCCATTCTTGCTTCCTGGGACGTACCACCGCAAACTTCCACCGAGCAAGGGCCACTTTGTAGTATACACTATGGACAAGAGACGGTTTCTTTTTCCCTTGGCATATTTGCGTACCAACATTTTCCAGGAGCTGTTTAGGTTATCAGAGGAGGAGTTCGGACTTCCGAGGGACGGACCAATTACTCTGCCATGTGACGCAGCATCAATGGAGAAAGTAGCGTCCCTGGTTCGAAGACCAGTGCCTAAAAAGCTACAGAAGGCATTGCTTGTATCAAATTTTGGTTTATGACTACTCAGTCATAAACTCATAATGTAGATTTTGCCAAATTGTTTTTTTTTTTTTTTCTACATGAATTTTTCCTTTTTGTTTGTGATAGAAAAAATAAAGAGAAAAAAAATATAAAAATATATGAAGAAAGAAACTCTTTCTTTCTTAATTTCACTTAATGTACAAGGTGTTTATTTATAGGTTTGTACAAAGAAATATTCTATAATATAAAATCAATTAATTTAATTATATCAATCAATTATAACATGAATACAATTAATATAATTATAATATGAATATTTTGTAATATCCTCTTAAACTCGAGGTGATGATGAAGAAACTAGCTTGAGTTTGAAAAAAAGAGTGTGGAGGCGCCCAAGAAAGTGAGTTTTTGGTGAAAAGATTTGCATATTAAATATGTAGATTGATGCAGTCGATGCCACTGGAAGAGAAGGAGGCAAAATATCAGATCTGAGCAAGAGCAATGTCGAAAGTTCAATTGCGAGAAATTAAGAAAAAAATCAACGACAATTGGATGCGAGAAGGCTGGAGCAACACTGGCTGTGGGAGTCACACATATTCCCAACGCAACGAAGGAACATGATAAAAAACCCAATTGCAAATAAGTCCAAAAAAGAAAGCAAAGATGATGATGATCGGCACCACCTACAAGCAAAGCAGCAACTCACAAAGAAAATGAACAGTAATAGTAAAAAAAGCCTCAAGGCTCTGATACCATAATAAAAAAAATAAAGACAAGAAAAATATAAAGATATATGAAGAAATAAACTATTTCTTTCTTAATTTCACTGAATAAATAAGGTGATTATTTATAGGCTTGTACAAAATCAATTAACTTAATTATATCAATAAATTATAATATAAACTCAATCAACATAATTATAATATAAATATTCTGAAACAGTTCGGAAAGTCAAGGTCTATGGGTTAGGTTTTTCACGTTTAGAGATTAATCTCTGTTTAGACTTAAGAGCACATCTTCCATAATAATTTGATGCATTTAAAAAAAGAGTAATGATACTGTTTACACCTAATTTTACAATAAATGGGGTGCTGCCACGTGTCATCCATGATGGCAGATATTTTATTAAGTTGGTGTGAATTTCTTCAGATGAGATTGAGTGGTTATTTCCACAATGGCAGCAAAACCGTTCTTTTGTTGCGAGCTTCTAGGAGGATAATCGCAGCACCAACAAATTAATCAATTTGTTGCAGATATTACGTTGCCGTTGGTCTTTCAAGATGCTGCCGCAGATCTTCACCATGCTGCCAAGGTGCTATAAATACCTAATTATAAGATCAAGCAAAGAATCGACATCTCACACAACAGACTCAGCACAACTTCTCTTTATACTCAGATTCATCTTAGTTTCAAGCCCTTTAATTTAATTTTAGCTC